ACAGCACCCTCACACACAGTACATTAACAGCACCCTCACAAGCGCACACACACACACACAAACAGCACCCTCACACACAGTACATTAACAGCATTCTCACAAGCACGCACACACAAACACCCTCACCTACATAGCACACTACCAGCATCGTCACACACACATCACACTAACAGCACCCTCACACAGCACACACACACATGCTGTGTGTGTATATATGTGTATATATATATATATACATATATATACACATATACATATATATATATATATATATATATACACATATATATATATACATACATACATACATGCATATAAATATGCGGCTTGTGCTTTAGGGTGCACACCCTAATGCAATAGGCTGCGCACGCCTATGAAGATGACCAAAGATTTTGCATGACCTGGAGGCATTTTGCCAAGTCAAATGGGCAGCTATACCACCTGCAAGAATTAGGGGCTTCATAGACAACTATTACAAAAGACTGCATGCTGTCATTGATGCTAAAGGGGGCAATACATTTTCTTTCTTTATTGCCATGTTTTATGAGTGTGTCATTCAGTTATAACCTACAGTTGAATATGAATCCCTTAAGAAATAAAAGAAATGCGTTTTGCCTGCTCACTCGTGTTTTCTTTAAAAACGGTTCATATATTACCAATTCTCCAAGGGTATGCAAACTTTTGAGCACAACTGTATTATTGAGCGCTGCACAGGGCTATAGAAATGCTAAAAATAATAAGCATACAAGAGTCTTTTGTTATGACACAGTAACAAAAAATATATATTTCAGATTATTTTCATATTACATGTTGGCCCATATGATCAGAAAATCTCTCTATAGCAGTAGCGTACTATGGATGGTTGCTTACTCTTTGCAGTGTGGCCAAGTGAGTCCTGAAGATTTCGTTATCCTCTACCCAGGTCTAGCAGGTAGAAGGAGGGAGCTCTCTCACAGTTTAGGAGCAATGATGGCATTATGGAGTTATATGCTGCCAGCATCTGCTGTCTGGTAACAGCATAGTAAATACTGAGAGTAAACCACTGTACATCAGAGATTACAACACCTCCAATTCTCTGCTCCTTCCCCTGGTATCCATAAAGGTAAGAGGGGAATTGGGTGAGTGTATGCCTGTTTCTGTATGGTATTGTAACTGTGTGTGTCTGTGTGCAGCTGTATGCTTGTAAGTGTGTGTCTGAGTATGACAGTGTATGTGTGATTCTGTGACTGTGTGTGTGACTGTAACCGTGATTGTGCATAATACTGTGTGAGAATGTGTGCATGTCCCCGCATGTGACAGTGTATGTGTTTAAATGTGTGCATGTGACTGTGTGGGTGTGTGTATGTGTGTGCATCTGTATGTGTGACTGTGTCACTGTGTGTGTGTTTGAGACTGTGTGCTACTTTGTACATGTGATTATATTTGACTGTGTATGTGTGTGACTGTGCTTCTGATTGTGCATACTGGACTGTATGTGTAACGGCACCCCCAGGCATAAAAAGGGGTTAAAAGCCATTTAGTAGATCTTCCCTTCCAGAGACACAGGCACAGCTACTGTAGACACCAATACACCGAACCCGAGAAGCAAATGAATGCTCTCAAATATACGAATGCTGTAGACAGCTGAATAGGAAAAACCATACGAATAGGTTTACACTCCTAGCAGTCAAACTGGAACAGCATACAATAAATCCCCCCAAGAACGAGACAAGGCTCCGTTTTGAGGGTCAAGCAGGAACAGACAGAGCTGTGGTTTTATTGTTCTTATATACACATTATTACACATTAATACCACCCACAGGGTTTTGGAAAACAACCAATAAACACATACAATACACTCAGACACTCCCACACAAAATCCTCCCCTCTGCCTGTGATACAATTACCTTACACAATGGGTAATGTAATTATCACAGGCAGAGAAATACAGTTTTTCCACATTATTCATAACTTTAAAAGTATGCATCACATTCAGATAAAACTTACATTTTCAGCATACTCCAAATACAAACATATGTCAAAATCATGCAAATTTGTCCATTGGTTCAAAAGATAGATCGAAGTCCTTTGTGACCAAATGAAGCATGGCTTTTTTGCCCAAAACCAGTTCCACAGAGTCTTCTATCCTGGAGATAATTGAGAAGTAATCCAATTATCTCCAAGGACAGAGGCAAAACTCCATTAGCCACATGGTAGCAAAATACAGTAAAATACAATAAAATACACAAGGTTACATTTATTACATAAAATACAGACATGCAACATATCCCCAGATAGCTTAGGTCTGAGGGCACATTATTACTGAATGGCGCTCAGACCATACACATACAGTTCAATCGCCATGGAGCCAAAGTCTTTTATTACACGAATAGGTTCCATGGCATAGCTATCTGGGTTAAATGAGTTTATTCAGTAAATCCGAGAATCCACCGAACGCCAGGGCAGAAATACATGAAAACCTTTGGACAATTTTGACCCATATACTTTAGTGCCTGTGTCTTATTGGGTTAGGTATGTGGGGGTTTTGTTTTGATTCTGCCTGCTCATATGGCGACTGTGCACCTGTAATGTGTATCGCTGCCTTTCCATCTGTGTCTGTGTGTCTGAGAAAGTGCATCGGTGTATGCATATGTCTGGCAATGTGTATGTGCCTGTGAGTTTGCATCTGCATATCAATCTGGTAGTCTTTGCATGGGGGGACCCACAGAATGGTTTTTAACATATCATTTAGATGGCGGCCAAAAAATGTATCCCCAGCTTTTGTAAAACTACAACTCCCATGATGCTCTGAAGCATTCAGGATGATTAAGTATCATGGACATTGCAGTTCTTTAACAGCAGGCAGGGTTCTATCATATGGCCACATCAACACACTCCGGGAGTGCAACTAGTTAAATCCAATAGTCTTTTCATTATGAGACAACATATATCTTCATTAATTTTGCTAGATGTTGGATTCCTCCTCCATTAATGAAAGGGTTAAGGCCGATGAGCTCTGATTTCATCAAATCTAAACCAAGACAATATTAAAATCTTGCCTAGTTAGTTCCTCTTATTTCTCACTCATTTTATCTTATTATTGCAGCTCTGGGGTCCTTTACATTACAAATGTGTAACATAAAAAAGAAAATGAATAGTTTCACTTGTAATATTATGTAAATGGTTTCAATCTAACTCTCAGAGCACAAATATCTTCTTTATGTTTTATCGTTCAGAGAGAATTCGTTTAGCTTCTAGCTTTGTCTCAGTTAATATGGCTCTGGCAACCAAAACAAAACATTATTTATTCATAATGTTTTAAAGCGGGGAGACAGTAACCTAATCAGGTTAACTTGTTGAGTATATCAATGGTAAAAATTGCAAATTACTTTAGATGTACGGATGACCTACTTAAAGGGACACTATAGTCACCAGTACAATGTAGTGGTTCTGGTGTGAATAGCTTGTCCCTGCAGGCCTTTTAATGTAAACACACTGCCTTTTTAGCGAAAGGACAGTGTTTACATTAGAGCCCAGGAACACCTCGAGTGGCAACTCCTCAGAAGGCCACTAGAGGTGATTCCTGTGTCGGTGCTGCACAGCGTGCAGCCCTAGCGTTCACCGTCTTTAACGCATGCAGAATAGCTTACCAATGTTTGACTGCTGACAAGTACCCCATTCCCCATTGCCCAATAAACACACGAGAATAATATGATTTGGGTAAGGGCAACGGCCACAGCTTTATTGATAACTTAAATTGCCAGCAAATTCTTAACTTTGTCAGCTGTTGGGATGTTTTACCAACAGACAGCTCTGTCCAGCATCAGCTCTCAGCAGGCTGCGAATCCCCAAGCTGACTGGGCACCTTCTTCCACTATACTACGCTGGCCAGAAAAAAACACGAGCTGTGTCAAAACAAAAGAAACTACATCACCTACAACCTCCAACACAGACAGACCCACATAAATTTAGGGCGGCTGGGTGGGAAAAGTTAGGATCCCTACACTTCTACCAGGAGACTGGGGAGTTATGTTGTGATGACTATAGTGTCCCTTTCAGATAAGTGAAACCTACTGTAAAACCTACTGTCCCAAATTTTGCAACTTGTCTGTGTTCCACAATTCTCATTTTAGTGAATAACTCTCTTTGCAGAGTCTTCTACCTGCTACAATCTCCCTAGCTGTTCCCTAACCTTTCAGTTAATCAATTGGCTGCGTAAAGGTTATCATCCCTTCTTTACCAAGCAGCGCAGACTGTCATAGAACACGGAGAGTATTTTATCTCGTTGACTGGACAGACTTTTTATTTTGTAATTTTGATCTGTTTCTTTTTTCCCTTTATTTCCCCCAACCCCATCACTTCTTCTGGTTCAATTCTTTTCCATTGTCTTTCTCTCTCCGGATATAATTAATTTGATTATCGTCTGACAGTTCTTCCAAATCATATTGTTTCTGACATTGATGTTTTGTTTTATTTGATGACATTTATAATGAAGCTCTTTCCATTTTTTTCTTCACAGTGTTTTATGTCAAAGCTTTGCAAGAAGCATTGATTTCATTAAATCGGGAACATTTTAAAGAAAACCTGTTATTTTTTTCATAATAAACTTTTTTTTCCCCAAATGTTGTCTGCGTAAAGAATGGTAAGAGAATTAAGGGTACATAAAAAGAAACAGTCATTGAGACTGTACGAGAAGCAAGGAAACACTAGTACAATTTGTGATTTGAGGTTTAAAAAATGCATTTTGTACAATTAATCACAGAAGCGATACGAAATATCATATAATGGCCAAGGGAATCACTCAGTGATAACAACTTGTGTCATATGGGTTGGCATCAAGGAGCTGTGGCTGCCATGTGAGAGTACTGGGTAAACTCCGCAACGGAGCCTCAGAGGACAGTATAAGAGAATAGAAAAGAGAGCTAAGAAGTGAGAGCTAAGAGGTGGAGGAAAGGGAAGAAGGAGACAAAAAAAAAAAAATCAAATTTTTGTATGAAAAATTCTGACACAGGAGTATAGAGGCTGCGGAACTCATTCCAGTATTGGAGGCAATGAATCACCTGACTTCGCCCCAAGGAACCAAATAATCCCTGGAAAAATGGCACTCCATCACTCTACCTTAATAGCTCGGGATGGCCCAAGAGATGCACTCCCATCCAACCGCACCATGCATGCTCTCGGCACGTACGACAGCTATGGTTGCCGGATTTCCAAGTTGCAGTCCGTTCCTCCATGGCCCTGATCTCCTCTACTTCCTCCATCCAGTAATGAAGGGTTTAATTACCTCCAGCTGGCCCTCGCGGTTGCCACCATGTTAAGCCTCCAGGTCCTCTTCGGCTCCTAGCTCTTTAGCCGCACATGTGCAAGAGTACAACACTGAGAGCTGTGGAGGATCCATGAGACAGCAGGACCCTCCATAGACAGTGCTTGAATCCCACAGCCGGCATTTGTGATGGATCCTGGAATTGGACATATATTGACAGAGGAGCTTCCCCTTTTGTCAACTTCAGGCTTTACCATAAAAGAGTAAGAAGTTCCTACTTTGTGTTATGATGACTTTGGATTGCGTTGCAATTTTAGTGACATTCCAACACAGTCTTAATCAGTATTTCATAAAGATTAGATCTTTATAAAATTCTGAAATGTAACAGATCCGCTTTAATGTTAGGACAACATTACTCCATCTATTACGTTGTATTACACAATAAAAAAATGAAACAACACTATAGCGTTAGGAGCACAAACTTGTATTCCTAAAGCTATAGTGTCCCCCTCTTTATATAGATTCAATGCAACCTAAATATAATTAAAAACTGGAACAAAGGGTTTTACTTACCTTCTCTTCCAGAGCCGAGGTAATTTTCCTGCAGCCACCCGATCTACCTCCGGCGCCGTCATCGTGCTTCTAAACATCCAATTCAATACTCCTTATATAGTAGCACACATGTAATGGAGGTCAGCTGTTAGAACCGAGTTTTAACCCTTTAATTAAACATTGCCGTATCTCATAAACGGCAATGATTTTCATTAAAGGGTTAAAACTAAAGGGCCAGTGCACCTAGACCACTTTGCTGAAATGAAGTGGCCTGGATGTCTTAAGTGGTCCTTTTACAAGCTTCTAGTGCTCACATAATCCTGATTTACTCACTACTCACTACTTGTTATTTAACTATTGACTCATATTACAACCAGGAAGGAAAGCCCGTCGACTAGAACAGTGTGTGTTGCGAGTGCACCAAACAAAATAAATCGTAATGTGTGAAAAGCTATATTATGTCGGGAAACGTATTAAAATAAACGTTCTAAATTAACACAATTAGGAAAATGAAATTATGCCAAATGAACAAATGTATAGATCAATTTTAGATTCACTTGGTCAAAAATAAAATACCAACTGTATAAGTCACTAGAGCATCAAATTGCATTTTTAGCTGTTCGGTGATTTTCTGGGTTTTTTTTGGATGTAAATTTCATTAGATGTTGCACATAAGACATGTAGCAAAAGGAAAATGCTTAATCGGTTAAAGCATACAATCATGTAATGGTAAGGTGTGGGAAACTAAAAAAAAATAGCAAACATCAAACAATAAGGACGATTACATAATACAGACTTATCTTTGGATGCCCATGATGTGCCCTGGATATACTCAGGCACATCATGGGAAGTAGGAAGGTTCATTTTTCAGAGTGTCTAAAAAGAAGATATCAGACTTTTTATTAGACAGTCTTTTAGACGCACAATTAGTCAATATTTTTCTGTAACTCCTCTGAGATAGAATTGCTGTTGTTGCCCAGTGACTAGCTATTAGTTTAGGTGCTCTTATATTAAAGGGTTACTCAGTCCACCATGACCACTTCAGTGATTTAAAGTTGTCATGGTGGTAGGAGTCTGTATGTTTCCTGTTTCTGCTTGAAGCACTGCAAATACAGAGATATTGTTAATTGTGTGTCAGGGGCTCGGTGAACCCCCAGCACACGTGACATTGACAGCCCAGAACTCTGTTCCAGGGATGCCAATGTCAATTCTGTGCATAGAAATGTTTGTTGTCAGTGTGCACTGCATGCTGCCCACAGACATAAAAATCTTCCCCATGCAGACAGTGTGCCTACAATGTGAAGATTACTTACCCCTTTTTCCTTTCCACTGCGAGCTTCCTCTTACCTCCCTCCATTGCACACAGTAATAACCGTTTTTCTCCCCAACCCCTCTCCACGCATGTCCAGAGCGGGCACATGCGCTCTGATATGGTGAAACGGTTTAATCCCAGGAGCATGTGAAGCCTCTGTGATGTCAGACAGGTGAGGAAGTCAGCACTGGGAGCTTCACCCAGCACTGAATTGAAGGTAAGTAAAATGCTTTTGTAACGGATCCCCTATACTCAGATGCGTATATCCGTTGTAAATCTCCTGAGTCCCAAAGTGAAGCATTGATTATAGCTCTGGTATACCCAAACATCAGCCAAGACTTGATGAAGAGTACAAGAAGGAATGATTTAATATGGCCCAATGGTCAGCTTATATACATAGACCCCCAGCATGGGGTCACCATTCACTTGTACAGTAAGCCCGCCCAGGTGCCTCTGTTTCTGGGAGATAAGAGAGCCTGCTTTTGCTTAATCTAATTATCTCCCAGGCACTAGAGTTAAAAATAGTAACAAACTAATTAAAAATACACATAACATATATCTTAACCCCCACAAGCATTATATCCCCAGATAGTGTGGATCTGAGCGCCCAAGTTGTCCAAATAGCTTTCAGATCCCACGAACACACCCGAATCGCCACCAGGGTACAGTTTTGACAGACCGCACAAATTACTTACAGAGAAATAGTGGTAGCGGACGGTGACTTTCGGTAGTTCAGAAATGAATTAAATTTCGAACGGTTCCCCTGGCTCATAGGAAGTGATTGTACGCCTAGTTCATGTGAACAGTCCTACCGAACAGCGGTCTCTGTCTTGTCGGGAAAAGAAGCAGACGTTCGTATGAAATCACTGGTGTTTGCGAGGTCGAGTGTCCAACTTATAGTTCCAGACACTTGACGACCAAGTCTCGCTGCCTGTGTTCGTGCGACAAGATAGCCGTCGTTTTCTCCAGCATGTATTGTTCGGTTATATGAACGGCGGCCACACAGGGAGAGCACTTAAGTTTGTGGTTAGTTTGTAGTTAATGAGCCAGGGGGTGGTCAGTGTTCGGTAGATTGCAGCTCCCGAACTGGGGAAACATGAATGGGCTTCGGGAAACATAATATACGAAAACTTAGCAGGGAAATGACTTAAACACAGGGAAAATAGTGAGTTTGTCACAGCTTTTTTTGCAGCTTTTTCTTCAAATCGTGGGGGGGGGGGCTTCTCCATAGTGCCCAATAGGGCATATTAAACAGTTACCCCCTCCTCAAAAGTGTTAGCGTAACCATTTAAAGCTGATTTTGGTCACATTTCCTTAGGGATCATACACAGCAAGACATACTTCACTTTCCTTTGAAGAAAATAAAATAATATATATCACTTACTTCCAACATAGAAGGAGAAAAGAAACATTCCACCAATATGGGCTGTGGCGGACCGCCTGGCACCCCGACTGGGTAACTCCACCAATCACGCTTTCTTGTTATCACCGAGTACCATAAGCACTTCACCGGGACATCATAAGCACTTCCAGCCCTTAATCGCCGCAGCTTGGCTGGGGTCTTGCTGCCTCTTCCCACCCTGGACCCAAGTCCTGGATCCAGCTCCCAGTGGTTAGAGCTCTCCTCTAGAGCGTATGGCAAGTATAGCAAGTAAATAGAGCAGTATAGCTGTTCCTCCCACACATTAGCCGAGACTTAATGCTGGGATTAGACTGTCTTTTTTCAGGGCCACACACGGCGTTCGTATGCAAACATCCCCTGCAAGGGGTTTCCAACACAAAGTTACAAAATCTACAACAATTCCAAACCTTCACACACACATTTTAATATTTCAAAAGGGGTTCATTGATTGCATGGAAGGTCAGAGCTTACAACCCAGTTCTTCTTTGAAGCTGGGACCCCCAACAGAGCCACTCGGCCAGGTGTGAGAAGTCCCACACAAGTGGCCTGGAAACCTGGCTGCAGCACAAATCAACTCTTTCATTTGTCACATGTCCTAATTGCCTCTTAGATAGGAAGTCCTTTGACATGTTAATGCTCATCAGCTTTCAGTAACAAACAACCCCTTGTGTTTCAATATCATATCCAGAATGGGACAAGCACAATCTTCCAATCCAGCCCAACCATGAGTTGCGAACAAGGGGACTCCACCACAATACATTGCCTCTTAGATAGGGAGATCCCCAGCCTGATGACCTGGAAATAATAAGCAGGCAAGCGAGTGGGCACGATACTCATAGACGGCGTTCCGTCACACATTCTTTATACAGGTCTTTGTACATGGCCCATAGTCCTTGGGCAGGAGGGTAGCTAAGAGCATGTGGCAGAGGCATCTTTGCAACATGGGCATATGGTGCCTTGGATGGATAAAGATTTCAAACATTGGCCACAGAATCACCTTCTCATATGGGTTTGATGTGTTGGGGCATCTGTATAGACTCTTCCTTGTAAGAATCAAAAAAGAAGGATATAATGTTATTCCTCTTTCGATTATTGTTCCCCAATTAGTTAGTAACAGACATTGACTGTGCACTTGTGCACAAATACAGGCCCCTTCCCATTTAGAATTTCATAGATGTTAAATAATTATTTGGGCATTACCCTTAACCATGCAAGTGTAATTATTGCAGTTTTATAAATTGCAATAATTACCTTGCAGGGCTAACTCCTCTATTGGCTGTCTACCAGACAGCAACTAAAAGTACTTTCCTAAGGGGAGATCCTAATACGAGTGCGGCCATTGCCACGCATGCGCACTAGGTCTCCCCCGCCAGCGGATGTCGGTGGGGGTGGAGCATGGGCAGAGCCTGACCTAGCGCCAAGGGACATGGGCTCGAGGGAGGGCGGCACTCCAGGATTCTACAATGCCAGGAAAATGGGCTTGTTTTCCTGGCAATAGAGAATCCCTTTAAGCCATATCTTTTCAAAACTTGCAAGCATCTTTTTCTGAGGATTGTAGTACTGAAATAGTACATTTTGTAGGCAGGACGTGTATTGGAGAAACACTTCAATCAGATACCTAAAATGTTTTTGAAAAAGGCTGTGGAGGAGCAGTTTGCCATTTTTTGCAAATTTGGTAGAGATGCATGCATTTCATTTTCAAAAATTAAGCAT